CCTCCTTGTAATCTTCAAAGTCTTATCTTTTGGTGTGAAAACCACTTTTCTTTTTTGGTTGTTTTTCCTTATAATAATGATGTCATTAAGTATTTGTATTCCTAAGATTGACTGACTTTGCTGAGCATAGTAGTCTCTAGTTTTGTCCCTGGCTTACAGTGTTTGAGAGGGTCATCCTTGTATTGTATTGATGCATAATATTGAACCGTTTGTTTATCTACTCTTCTATGATCTGAGTTTTTTGCTGTTTCCATCTTGTTGCTATTATGAAAATTGCTGCCACAAACATGGGTGTGTATATCTGTTTGTGTGGTTTATGTGTATTTCCTTAGGATATAGAGCCAGTCTAGAGATCACAGGATCAGAAAGTAATTGTATCTGCATTTATTTCAGGAAGCCCCATACTGGCTTCCACAGTGGTTGTGCAGTTCTGCAGTCCCACCAGCAATATACGAGCGTCCTCTCCAGCACTCATTATCTTCCATTTATTTTACCTTTGCTAGCGTGTCAGTGGGAAGTGGTTATCTCATTGTTGTTTTCATTTATATTCCTTATTGCTCATGAATTCAAATATTTTGTTGGCTGCCTGGGTTTCATCACTAGCATAAATTCATGCATTGTGCTCATTTTTTGACTGGGTTATTTTTCTTTTTCTTTGTTAAAACATTATAGCTTGGGGGGGGAAACAGTATAGTTTTTCTATAGATTTTTGAAATTAAACCCTTTATCTGATGTGTCATTATTAAGTATTTTCCCAACCTGTGGGTTCTCTTTGGATGAAGTCGTTTGATGTGCATAAATGTTGTATTTGTAGAGGGTCTCAGTCCTCTATGTTGCCTTCTTTAGGGTAGATGTTTTTCATTATGTTCAGTAGTGTGTTTATGCTTTAGGGCTCTTAAGTTTGTCCCTATTTTTTCTGTTGATGGTCTTTATGGTTCTGGGTTTATATTTAGGTCTTTGATCCATCTTGAGTTTGTTTTTGTACAAATGTAATGTATGGATCCAGTCTCATTTTCCGCATGCAAAGATCCAGCATTTCCGGGGCCATTTATTGAGCAGACTACCTCTTTCCCACTTAATGTGTTTTAGTGCTTTATAAAAAATGAAGTTTCTCTAGATGGTTGTTTGTATTTTTGGATTCTCCATTTTAATCCATTGGTTTTCATATCTGTTATAGCCGCACCAAGCTGTTTTGATTTCCATGGCTACATCATACATTTCAAGGTCTCCACGTGAAAGGTTTTCTGCTTTATTTTTCTTTTTTAATATTGTTTTATTTACCCTGGCTTTTTTTCCCTTTTCCATATAAAGTTGGTGATTAGTTTTTCCATGTCTTTGAATAATTTTGCTGGGATTTGGATCAGAATTTCATTGAATTTAAAAAGGGTTTTTTTGGGTAATATTTATATTTTCTCTGTTTATTCTACCCATCTAAGAGCACAGGCGCTTGTTCCATCAGTAAATTTCTTGTAAGAGTGTTTTGTACTTTTCCTTCTATAAGACTTTTATTTTCCCGCCTCTGTTTTATTCTCTCTTCACGGTTTTGTATCATTTCCTTAACAAGCACTACAGGATTCTTCCACATATTTGTTGCCTCCACATTGTCAAATATGCTGACTGTAGTAGTTCTGCCCAACCTATCTTCCAGAGACCAAACCAAAGGCACAGTCATCAAGGTGATTCAGATTCGTAGCCAGTCTATTAAGACAGAATAGGACACCCTGCTGGGTTTCTGAGACTGTGCTTCTTTACTAAGGGAGCTGAGAGCATCGTCTGTCTCCCGTGGAGTGGCTGGTGGTTTCCAACTGCTGACCTTGCACCTAGCAGCCCAGTGCCTAACCAGCAGGACTCCTTTCTAACCTGCCTTAGCATCTCAAATGTAGAAATAAAATATTTGTGCAACATCTGTCAGATCCTCTGGTAGGGTACAGAGCAGCGGTTCTCAACCTGTGGGTCATGACCCCTTTTGGTGTCGAACAACCCTTTCACAGGGGTTTCCCGATTCATAACAGTAGCAAAATTGCAGTTATGAAGTAGCAACGAAAATAATTTTAGGGTTGGGGGCTCATCACAACAGGAGGAACTGTATTAAAGGGTCGTGGCATTAGGAAGGTTGAGAACCACTGGTAGAGAGGGATGATTTTGATTTGTGGAACAGATAATAAAGGCTGTGGGGAGGTGTCAGCAGCAGAGGCTGAATAGAGGGCAGCAGCTATGACATATAAGTAGAAAGGACAGATCGATTGATTGGAACGTTGAATAAGGGGTTGAAGATGTTGGGGTCCAGGGGAGAAACTGGAGTTTGTGTTTGAGAACCCAATGCAAGATCCAGAGAGGAAGGCAAGAGCATAAGTGTACAGGGTGTTTGCGACAGAGCGGGACAAACTGGCTGGGACACAAGTCATTGAGGACGTTTCAGCAGTGAGTCTCTGTACAAAGGTTGCTCTCATTTGGATGAGGCTGTTTTCATTCCCGATTTCCTATCAGAGATACTGACTTGGACTGGGTTTATGCAGCTAAGATGATAATAGGTGACCTTGTTCTCAGTTTGGGTCATGTCCAATACAAATGAAGACACTGAGTCTCCCTGCCATGGAGTCGATCCTGAGTCAGAATGACCCTGCGGGGCAGGCTAAAATGGCCCTTGTGGGTTTCTGAGACTGTAGACCTTTATGGGAATAGAAAGCCTCATTTTTCTCTCTCAGCGTGGCTCATAGGTTCAAACTACTGACCTTGGGGTTATCCGCCCAATGTGTAGCCCACGACACCACCAGGAATCCAAAACAGGCAGTGGGGCAATATTGACATTTTTTTTATTGTGTGTATCATATCTTCTGTCTTAGATCGGAGAGTGGTTATTAGGTGCTGTCCAGTTGGCTGTGATTCACAGTGTCCTTATGTATAAAAAACAAATGTTCATCCCTGCACCATCTTCATGTTTGGGCTCATCTTCCAGCATGATACCAGACAATGTTCTGTTGTAATCCCTCCAATGTTCAGAACCAGATCTCTAACCCTC